TTTCTTCTGAGCTTTTGAAGGCAATGTTACGGATTTCTGGTGTAAGTTAAAGGCAAGGATAAAACTGTAGGATATGGGCGCTTCGTAGTAATGACTGAGCTGCGAACCCTGCCTGGCCTTAAAATACCGTAAGGATGGTATGCTGTAATCAAATAGACGGTGAACGCCGTTCAAGAGAGCACGCTGATCTCTATATTGATAGCGGTGGGTGGGAAGCGTTGCAGCGAGGGTCGATGGTTGCAGGTTCGTAATGGATTAGCGCCCTAATCGCGCAATTTGGGCAACGAAGCTGGCATGATCTATGAAGTACGTACCCCAAAATTTCCTTCATGGTATCCTTATCACTAGTCGAGCCGATCCCGGGGTTTACCTTGAAGCCTTTCCCGAGAAATGCAGCGGTGAGCAAGCGGGTGTACAAAACTTTTGAAATGATCTGTAGACGCCGAGGTGCAATGGTCCTCGGATCACTAACCCCGCCCAATGCCATCGACTCCGCCCACAAATCAGTATTATTTCGCTGTTCTGCTACCATGACAGAAGAAGAGGCCTTCTTTTCGTGACTATCAGCGTTTTCTTTTCTGCGAAAAGCGAGAGGTGCGGGTTCTAGTCCCGCCTGGGGCGAAAGTTTTGTTCACAACCCAGCATTCTTGTGAAAGCTTTCTTTTCTGTTTTTCGCTACTGGCGTTACACTTGACATCGCCATGTCACCTGAAGCGCAATAGTAACAAGCTTATTTCAGGACCTTCCAAGTACACACTAATCATCATTCATCCTCTGCGATTTCCAGAAGAACTGTGGCCGAATAAGGAGCTTTGAATGCAGGCACAATTTCACAGGTGGATTTTGCGGAGACTCGTTCTGGGTGAGTATGATAAAGAGAGCTTCGGATGATTGACTGAGCAAGTAGGGTGCCTGACAGCAAGTCTACTACACGGCGAGAAGGCAGAGGCGCAGACCGATCAGCGGACGAGTGGGTTTACGTGGGCTGCAAACAAAGTACAGGGTAGGGCAAAAAAATGATAACAAAATAATAGCGGTCCATTTATAAGCGGACAATTCCAAATCAGCCCCTCCCCTCCCCCATAAGCTTGGCAATTTCGCTTTCGTGCTGAAAAACGGATTTGAACTATAACTGCTGCAAGTTGTTTGGACGCACTATTCTGCCCATTCTTTCAACAGCTTGACCCAACCGCTAAAACATGCGCTGCAACTCGTCCGCTGTCCCGTCTGCGTCTCTGCCTTTCTCGCCGCGGAACGGGCCTTCTGTTGGGTACACGAGCAAGTGCTACTCATTCTGCATTATCAACATCGCTTTCAGGGTATTGTGCAACCGTTGCCGGTTTCGCCACCTTTTCCATCAGAATGCTTTTCTCATACCGTGTTGGTAGCCGTGCCAACTTTATTTCTCTTTGTTCTTCTCCCAGTGCTATATGTACAGATCAAAACTTCTCGCGCTAAACCACTTCCATGGACCACACTGCAGAGCATGAAATGGGTGAGAAATTTCGTGAAAAAATTAAAAATGAAAGGCATTGAAGAACACGTACGCCATCTCCTTTTTTGTGAATAGCGGGCTACATTCCCTGAACCAGGAAGAGAAGAGAATCCTAGGGAGTCCTCTGCGTGTTTTCATCCAAACGACAAATGTTTCTGCCGACACCCCCCCCCGCCGTAGTGCCTTATAAGACTCTCTCCCGTATCTTGCGACTGCCCCCAGCCGTGTTCTTAAAGACGCTCCCGTACTGCATAGCCCTCTGAAATTTTTCGTGGAAAAGTTGGAAATCACTTGAAACAAAACAGATAACTAACATGTTTAGAGAAGATGAATCCAAAATAAAATAAAGTAGAAAAAGTCCATGCAATCTCCTTATGCGAACCGAAACGAGCAGTATTGAGCGCTGGGTGGGGGGGGGTGCGTTTTATCTTTTGAACGCACTGTATGGGAAAAACAATTATAGTCAGTAATCTCCTCAGCCAGTGAAGGAAATGGGAGTAGAAATTCATTCGCAAATAAGTGATCGAATTTCACTATGACATTCCCAGCTCGTGACAGCATCGTGATATGGTCGGCGACAAGCTTGTTCTATTCTGGTTTTCTCCATATGCATTACGGTATTGTCGTTCATTCAGCTCGGTACCTACAGTAAATATCGTCTACCCAGTCTTTCAGTCAATATCAATGGCGAGTACATTCACTATTTCAAGTTTACTGACTTTTCATCTAAGCTCCATTGATTTGTTACCTCTATTTTTTTATCACAAATAATGCCCCCCTCCCAATTTTTCAGATATTAGTGTTGATGTTGATGAACAGCTCACGTAGAGCAGGTCTTTCGAATCCGGGAGCCATCTTCTGCATCTGGCTAGTATTCCTGATATGTGGTGCCCCGGAATTCTACGCCTGGATTACCATAGGTAGCGATCCAAGTGTGGGTTTTATTTTTCCACAAACGAATGCTGACCAATACAGCCCTATTTCTCGAAATTATTACAGGCTTGTTGGACAAGTCTGAACTTTGTGCAATACGCTTGTATCCTCGCCTCCTACAATCCGCTGTTTGCTTCTCAGTTGTGCCACTGCTTCTTCCGACTCTCATCACTCCTTTTGCACATAGAGAGTACTTCAAATTTTTTGATTTTAAATGTGCTTCAAGTGAATCAACGAGTCAACGCAATTGTTTTTTGATATTACTTTTATTTGTTTTCTTACTCATCCTATTTGTATGTACGCAAGGTGTGCCCATAATACGTTGCTGTGCTCAGAAACAATATGCTCAAAGAAATTTCGAGGTCTGGAAAAATATAACGTCATACCAAAGAAAATCATAGCAACATATCGTTCCACTCCCCCTCCCCTTTTCTGTGAAGCACTGTGTTCCAAGATGAGCAAAGGCAAACAAGCACGAATCTCACAGCCCAAATCAGCAGCTCCTGCTAAGGCTGAGAAAAGGCCATGAGGGTGATAATTTGAAAAGGAAAAGACAGTATTGGGAAGACGGCTCCAGATAAGTTTCTACCAGTAAAAAGAGCTTCTATTGATAGTTGATACTGTTATCTCTAAGAGTCACCGAAACATTAACCTTATCCCCCGTCTCCGCCCCTCTTTATTCCCTCCCCTTTTACGCGCACCCGGCTCAGCCGGCTATGCTGTCCTTTGCCACATAAGGCGTCATAAGGGCTTGCCAAAGTTTTGAGGCACGATTTACCAGTAGTTCATGTGGGGTTGGCTAGTAAATATTGGCGCTATTAAAAATGCAGAAGTCGAGATAGTCCACTTTTTCAGCATTTTGAGTACACGGATACGCATCCAGAAACGTCTGCCTCGTTTCCCAACCGGCAACTGCTTTGCTGGTTCGGACCACTGGTGTCCAAGGCCTACAGAAAGCCTCTTGAAGTACGTTAATCACACAAAAAATCTTATCCTTCAATCTAACTGCCGGCAGTACTTGTTTTAAGATCAATGATTTGTTCGAATTGGACGACGGTCTCAAATCGGACACTCTCATGGAGCAGTGGGAAGGGGAGTGGAGGAAATCAATGAAAGGTTAGTTCAGCCTCCCCACGGGCAATAAGCAAGGCATTTGATACAGCCGTTGCTATCAGATGTCATTGCCTTTTCTGGTTTTATTAATTCTGAATAAGTCTAGATTACGAGAAACGGAAACAAGCGCAGGCTTTGTCATCCAGCGAGAACAGCTACACAGAAAAATCTCCTCTATTACTCGGCAATGGCAAGAATTATGGGACACAAAAGGAGACAAATTATCTGGATGACAGTGAGTTCTGAAAACTTTCGTTGACTCCCATTCCCTTTCCTGGATATCGTTTTGAGAGATTTTACCCACTGAATTACAGGAGTTGAACTACCTTCGATTGTCGGTGTTATGTGGAGATTGTTCAAGTGGGAACTGATTGGTGGAAGTGCTATTAAATTTCTCTCCGATGTTATCCAGTTCGCTAATCCTGCTTTCCTCAGGTCTGTGTTTTCAATAGAACCTCAAAACAATGAAGCGGTTCCTGCTCGCCGAAATTTTGAAAGGCTTGAGCATCTCTGCCAAACTGAAGCAAGTTTGACCATTCTCTGAACCACGTCATTTACAACTACGTTGATGTGCAGTGGAGTGGAATAAACGCAAAAAAAACATGGGGAGGAATTAGGCATGTGCGAAAAAGGATTTAAGGTCGCATTGTTTCATTGTTCGTGCAGCCAAGTGGTTGGAATCGCTGCCCTCACATCTTTTGGAAGCTTAATGACTCAAATCAGTTCAAGACATCTATCAAAAAAATCAACATATTGGATCTTCTTGGCATTACCGACGCTCTCTGATGCTGTTGTTCCTTATTCTGTCAGTAATCCTGTTGTAATCCACTGGGCTTGTCCGTCAAGCGGTTCATATTTGCCACACTACCCGGCCACAGCCCTATGAAGTTGAACACCCATGATGTTCCCTGTCCACACTAACACTCTTTACTCCCCGTGTTCACGGAGTACGGAGGTGTCAAGTCCGGAATAAGTGCATGCCAGTGGCTGGTTCGTGACACTCACCCAGCTAGCCGGTTCCACGTGGGTAGTCGGTATACCCGTGTCTCGAAGTTCCGGTTAGCCCCTATGACCCCTGGTGTGGCGATCGGGCACCATAGCCGACTGGTGCGGGTCCGTGTCACGAGTCGCCACTGATAAATGCGCTAATGAAGGACTTTGAGCACCTTCATCCCCTCACCCTTTTTTTGGATGAACTCTCCTACCGTGTTAGATCTCCTACTAACCTCACGCCATACCATCGCTTGACTGGTAAGTTCCTTTTTCACTCCTTCCTCCTTGTCTCTGCCTTCATCTTCCAGTCGCAGATCATTTTATGCCTTATCGGTTCGGTGCTGTCTCTCTTTGCTAGTTGTTTTATTTTTCGTTGTTGAGATTTTTTTTCCCTACTTGTTTATGTTTGGTTACTAGCAACCTCTCAATTGGCCTGCCCAAGGTACCCTCCTGCTAGATGGCAGGAGCGCGTCCATGTACGCAAATAAATAAATAAATAAATAAATAAATA